ATACCATTGGACGCTGCATCGAGTTTATTGACACCAACAGTGAAGATTGGGAGAATTCTGGAGTCTTTTCTTCTCTTGTGGATCGTCATCGTTGTTAGCGCAATGGGCAGATGCGGTTTGCATCATTAAGGTTAGCCATTAATTATCTTTTATGGTTATTATTGATAATTAGTGTTATAGTTACACTTAACGGCTATTTTGAACTAGTCACATATTTTATTTTTTAGAAAAATGGAAACATTAAAAAGTGCATTACCATACTTTAGTTTGTCGTTATTATTAGTGTTAATAGTGATTATAATGTTACTTATTGCTATTAATAATTAATTAATTAATGATGACATTAATATTCTTATGGTATTCAGATGTGTACCTTGAACTGTTTCCAAATAAATTTATGTGACAATACTCCAGTTCAGAAAATAATTTTCTGGACATTAATATTTTTCGGACTTCAAATTTTATTAAGTTTTCAAAATTTTATTCAAATACGGTTATAAATGTTAGCGATTTTAACCATTGTTTTTCCATATTTAGTCTCCTACTTAATGTGATAATATTATTATGGCTATTTATTGCTATTTTGATTGTTTGCAATTTTGCCATTAATAATAATATTATTATTAACTGAGTTATGGAGAGTGATTTTGAATCAATTTAGTAATTTTGGAAAAACATATTTTCTAGGCAATTGACTTTTGCCATTAATTCCATAATTCATTCAGTTTTTTGAATTATGATTTTAGTTCTTATTGCTCATATTTGATTAAGTATGAAAGAATGAATATTTGGTTTAAATTCATATTCTTTAGTTGGTTCATACTCTTTAGATTGTTTTATGCATTCGATCATATTAAATGCATAATATTAAGTTTAATTATGCAATTAGGGTTTGTGAGATTTTGATTTACAAATTATAACATATCCTTTTGGTGTGATATTGTTTGAATTTGTAAATTCAGTTATTTCTCATGAATTTGATTTTCATGCATTAAAACATTTTAACATGGGCTTACAGTTTAAAAATTCAAAGTATATATCCAATACATTATTATTCAAAATGTTGGGTCTCTTTTGGTTTGGACTCATTGGTGTTTGAATATTAAGTTTATACTTTGAAATCTCATATTGTAAATTGCTTTAAGTTATGCAATTTATTTGGAATATATGAGTTTAATGCTTAATTTATGCATATTTTTCCTACGCATAATATTCTATTTTTTTAAATTATGCAATTTTATTATGCCTTTAGCAATGCATAAATTTAGGATGGAATTATACTAGTTCCTTATTAAGTTGGATTTATGCATAAACTTTAGTCGCGGTAGTGCTTGAATTTAAGCACACTTAATCCGTTAATTTAGTTCATCATTTAAGCTTTAATCATAGGTGAACTCTACAGTTTTCTAGTGTATACCCTACAGTTTTAGGTTCATACCCCCAAACAGTTATACATTAAGCATATATGAATCGGGGAGACATACTAGTTTTAATGGCCATGAGTTAAGGAGATCTTGAGCCACTAGTCTCCTTAAATTGATACTCTATTTAAGGAATTGGTTTTCAGTGAGACTTAGTCTCTAACCGCCGCTTTTTCTTGGAGTATATTTAGATTTTCCCATCACAATCTGGTATAATCTGTTTGTCAAAATTTTAAGTTTTCCTTGCCAATGTGATTTGATTTCGGTTCAGTAAAGAATAGGCAAAGCATCTTTAATTTACTAAAGTCTCTTAAGTTTTCAATCTTGGTTAATTAAGGAATAGCTACAGCATATTCAGCTACCTAAGATTATTAAGTTTTAATCACATAAAGTTTAGGTAAGAATTTGATAATTGTCTAGTGATCTTATAATTTTAATTTGGTTTTGGAGTAGCCACAACATCCTTAATCTGTTAAAATTATATATTAAGCGGTTTATTTTGATCACATAAATTTTTGGACATATCATTTGTAATTAATTGTATGTAATATGATGAAATTTAGCCCACAGGAAATTTCGTTATATTTGTATGATTAATCAGGATGAAATACTGGACTACGGTCATAATTTAGCCCACAGGCAATTATGTATCGGAATGTAGTTTAGTAGTTTTATCAATGATGCTAGAAATAAATCAATTTATTGACTTTATGGTTATTTGTAAATAATTTCCAGTTCTATCATGAAGTTTAATTTTATGATGTAAATTTAGGTCATATTTCTTAATTTGCCCACAGGGATTAAGAAAAGGAACATGATCTCTTAAGTTTTTTATCATAATGATAGCAATGAATCTTATTGACTAAAACTTTGGCCTACAGGCAGGTTTTATGACATTTGATTCTTCAACTCATTTGATAATAGTTTCATCATAAATAATATTTTTCAGTTGGATCTAATTGAGTAAAACTTTAGCCCACAGGCAAGTTTTATGTCACTAGATTCTTCTGGCTCTTTAGTAATTGTGAAAAATATTATCTTAAGAGTTTCTTAATTGGATTTAATAATTAAAACTTTAGCCCACGGGCAAGTTTTATGTCAATAAATCCCTCAACCCATTAGATAATAATTTTATCACAATTCTTAGAATTTATAAATTTAGCTCAATTATAATTCTGAGGTTCATGGTTTGCATTGGCAAAACATGTTTTTCAGTCACTTCCCAAAATTTAGTCACTTCTATTAATTAATCCACGAATCTTGCTCGGTTCTTCGGACTAACTATAGTAAGTTACATGATTTGACATACATCTTTTGGATTCCATTAATAAAATGTATCTTTTGAGCCAAATTCTAACTTGGTTTTGGAAGGTGTATTTTTATTTTAGTATGTCCAACTATGGTGGGGAATTATATCTTCATTATTTAGTTGGACTTTAATTGGAACCAAAATTGATTATTTAGTATGTCCAACTAATGGTGGGGAATTATGTCTTCATTTGTTAGTTGGTCAATAAATCAATTATGAGTATGTATATTATTAAGTTCACTTTATTAATTTCGCTGAAGAATATTTTAATCAGTGGGAGTGATCATTTAAAAAAACAAAGATCATTAAGATACTCCACTAAAGTTTATTGATTTAAATGGCTTCATACATCCTAAATTTGATTGTATGTCAAACAATAAGTCCAAAATATTCCGCAAGTATTAATCTTGTATTTGTTCATATAAATTCATAAGTTCAAATTATTGAACATTTTGTAGTGCAACATATTTATGAAAATGTTGTAACAATATTGAGGAATTTATTAGAACAAAAGCATTTAACTTGTGGCGCACTGTCATTTAATAAATTCTTCAGTGACTAATAGAGTCTTTAGTTTCTTCAAAATTAATCCTGGGCCATTTTGGTTTGTAAGGCTCAAAATAATTTTGTGGGACGTATAAGTAAGACTCATTATGTTCAGTTCATTTAAAATGAACATTGAAGTTATTTGAGAAGTTATGGTGTATGATTAAGATTCCAAATTTATGGACTTAGACCTTTGGTTTATTGTTTAAGTTTTTGGAATGCTTCTGTGACTTGACTATCTTTTGGCTATTTTTGATGAGTGGGAGTGACAGGCGTGTCAACACCAAGCTCTTAGCTGTTAGAGATAGTACTTAAAGTTAACTTATAAAGAAGTCATGGAATATAGTTAGCATTATGCTAACATGAAGAGATCTCTACTTAAGGCATGCTTATAAAGTTTTAGAGATCATACAATGTACTCTTTTGTACAATTTGGATGCGTTTTCTCCTTCAGTTGTGCACATAATGTATTTTGAGAAACATCCCTTAAGGTACCAAGAATAAACATAGGGTTTGTTCATTAAGAACCTAAGTTGGAGAATTAAAATGTATGTGACCATAATGGATACTACTCTGATTAAATAGAGGACATATCACTATGATTCGTGTGTTTTGTTCTTTGATGAAGGTTGTGCTAGTACATGCACCAAGCACCCGCTGATACACCACAACACACAGACCACTACCAATATACTACTATGGCTTAACACACTATATTCCCACAATTATACCCCCCACCACAAACTCAAATTGTATATATACAAGTGCGTATTAGTATTACATGTAAGATTTTCCCTAATAATATATATTATATATTATATATTATATATTATATATTAGGGCCTTAATTAAGTGGTGCAAGTTGACTAGGCTTATTAAGTGGTCTGGTTGGACTTAATAACTAGTAGTTGCTAGTCAACCAAACTCTGTGCCTAATATAATCCTGGATTGATGGGATACAGGATGATTGATGTTAGCACATTCAGTTACGGTACTCAGACCGCTCAGTAGATACCAATACACCATCTAGGGTTCTGAGTCAGGTCTGAGGCAAAACATGGCTAACGGTCTACCGTTAAGAGGCAACACAACAGGAACATCAACTATGGCTGGAGATCAACACGGCTACGCTTCCGCTATCATAGAGGTTAGGTTTCCCGTATACTATGGTTTATTATAGTTAGACTATTGTATATCTAACATTACATACCTATTAGTATTACATACCTATTAGTATTAGCTTTCTTCTAAAGGTATTTCGCTATTGCCATATGTACATCCCTCTCTTTCATGTAAGCCAAGAACTTTCTCCAGTAATTCTTGAAATCTTATTGTTTAGCTCCCACATTCTCGCCTCCCCCCCCCCCCCCCCCCCCCCCAACCATCTCTACATATATGTCAAAACTCTTGCTTGCCCCAATGCTTGCATTTCCACAGTTTGTTATGAATTGCTGATGTCCAATGTCTATTCTCCTATTCACTTTCATGGAAGGTTTGTAATTATCTTTGCACAAACAGTGTGTGTGTCTTTCTTCGAATGTCTTTACTACATATCTTCCCTCACTAACTAAGTTGAATACAATTCTAGCAAGGCAACCAACTCTGTTAGTGGTCCGCCGGCACTTGTGTTGTGTTGTTCCTTTTACAGCAGGTGTTTCTGTACCTTTTGGATCCTTATACCCTTCCCGGGAACACACAACATGTTTTTAAAAATATTTCTGTACTTGTTTTTTTTATCCGAACTGCGACCCACATCAAATCCAGCAACTGCAGCATATTTCTTATAGAACTGAATCCCATCTTCAAGTGTATCGAATATCTGCCCTTCAAACGGTTTCAGGTATGCGTCACATTCAGTTAACCAAAGCTTTGTACCACCAGGAGATACATCCATAACATAATCCTGTCCTTTAGACTTTTCTTCACTGGGTACTGCACCGCACACACCTGGAAAATAAGTTATATATTTATACAGATAGTTTAGTACACGAATAAATTACATTCACGCACAAACCGCTACTACACCAAAAAAAAAAAAAAAAAAATACGCATAATAATCTCACTATCCTTTTCATTAAAATTGACGTCTGATACTAACTTTAATTAAAACTTACATTCTGTTAAAAAATAATTAAATGCCCCATACCATTACTCTGCTCCAACAGTAGCTCATATACGCCCACACCTCCGTTTATAACTAATGTGGTGCACACAACAATAGACAAATAATACAGATACATTTATTCTCTTACCAAACGGCCGAACAACAGCCATCCACATACACACACTGAAATTGATTCTTTTTTAAAAAAATAAACAAAACCTATTTGTACCGCTCCCATTCTTGTCTACGCACAAACCAAAACAAATACACGCACACAGCGCCGAACACCTTGTTGTATTTTGGTTTAGATATTTTTTTTCCCCACCTAGAAAACGTTCTTGGTTATCTGAATTCTTACATGGTACACCAACATGAACACGCTTTTGCACTTCTACGCACACTCCACACAATAAATATTAGTGACCTTTTTTACAAAAAACAATATACAGCAGACGAATTAGCACTGACTCCTAATATTATTTTTGATTAACACTTTCTTTTCTTTAAAAAATTAAAAAAAAAATGAAATTCCCCTTTCCTCTTATGTGCAAATTCAATAACACTTAAACGCACACACAAACGCGTACAAATTCTGTGATGCACAACAAAAACAAACAAATTCTACCCATACATTCATTTATTTCAAACACGGACAAACAACGTGCATCCATGATGTGAGCCTAATTGTGCATATTTTTAGTATTAATTTATTTATATTTGTTAGGATTAAGTTCATAATTTTGATGATTTAATTGCATAATCCCGTGTTTTTAATATTTAATTATGGTTCACACTTGTTTTGATCGCTTTATGGTGTTTGTTAGTGTTTTTCAACCATTGTAGGTCAAAGTTATGAGCAAGTGAAGTACTAGGACAAATTTAAAATCAAAAGTAGACCGAAAGACACATATACAACAAGTTCGATGCGTCGAGCCCTAGGCTCGACGCGTCCAAAATTTCCAGTAGGTGTTCCCACAAGTCAGCACAGGGCTCGACACGCCAAGCCACTGCTCGACGCGTTGAGCGGCACGAAGTCGCAAAAGGCGTAGCAAGGAATTAACGTGGCGAGAACTCTTCAATATTAATGCGCGGCTTTCAAATGCCAAATTCAATCTTCAATTTCCCAATTTAACTTCAATTCCAATTCCAAAGTTAAGCAAAGTGGCGGAAATTTATAATTAATTAATAAAATTTCAATTTCGGTCCAGATTCAATTTCAGTCCAATTTTTGCACAAAATTCCTATTTCAACCGGGATTGGTTAGGGGCTTCTAGCTATAAAATCTCACCTTCCTCGACCCTAATATCCAGAGACCGCGATTTTGGAGACAAGAACAGTGCAGATTCAAGAGGAACAAGATCGAGATCTACAATCGGCTTTGGAGTAGAGAAATCGCTAGGAAGATTCGGGAGAATTCTTTCCCTTTTTCTTTTACTTTAATCGTTGTTTTATTTATTCCTGATTTTTATTTGAATGTTATTATGGCCATGAGTGGCTAAAACACCTTAGGGATTTCTGGGTGAATGTGTTTATTAACCTATGTGCCAAGAGTTTAATTTCTTTAATATATTTATGCCAGTTTTTATTACTTGCGTTGCAATCGCGTATCTGAATATTGTTGCTAGTAATTAATGGCCTAAATTGCTTGCTTCATAGCCATATTCATGTCTGAACAGGAGTTAAGCATAAATTAGGGCACACTCGTTTGCACTTTACAGTTGCGCCTTGGGAAAGGGCAATTTTGTTTGGGAATTTAATTAATAATTATTGCCAGTTCGGGAGATGGTGGTAATTAGGAATTAACGAATGCCGTTTCTTGTTCTTATTGAGATTTCGGGAGTAATTCAATTCTACATTTGCATTCTCACACAGGTTTAGAACTGAATTAAATATTGCATCTTTGATTGGCACTAGGGGATTAAACACTTAGATCCCAGGAATCCTATTTTGCTCTTCTGTTTTCATCAATCTGTTTATTTAGCTACTTAATTTTCTCAATTACCAAAATCACCTGTTTTGTTAGGACTAGCTTCACATGAGTAGTCTAGTAGCAAGTGCTTAGTACCCCACTTCCCTATGGTTCGACAACCCGTACTCCGGGTATTTATTTGTTTGCAAATTTACTACGCTTCAAATTGGCGCCGTTGTCGGGGAAGTGGCGTTAAGTATTAACATTAGTGAAAGTTTTATCCTAGGAGACTAGTCTATTTTTATTTAATTATATTTATTATTATTATTGTTACTAATCGATAACGAGTTTCTTGTGTTGAGCTTTGATTTGTGATCAGTGGACTTAGTTTTATGCGAACTCGGTCTTTGGGAAACGAAGGATTAGAACCTTTAAACCCTGAGATTGAGAAGCATGCCAGGCTCCTTAGGAAACAGATAAGGGAGGCGCAGGAAGCAATTCGGAACAACATGAATCCCGCTGAAGAAGTTGATCAACCACCACCCCGTTGCGAGGTCCATGTCCGACTACATCGCTCCGACTATGGGGGAATATGGAAACATCAATGTGCCTTGGGTTGAAGCCAACAACTTTTAGATCAAACCGACTATTGTGCAAATGGTTGCTTCAGACAGGTTCGGAGGAGCACCAACAGAGGATCCTAATGCTCACATTGCAAGATTTCTGAGGATCTGCAGTACTTTCAAGTTTCGATTATTTCCATTCTCAGTGAGAGATAAGGCTAATAGCTAGCTTATCTCTTATCCAGAAAACTACTTCGAGACATGGGATCAGTTGCACAGGGCGTTCTTGAAGAGATTTTATCCCGTCTCCAAGACTCAGAAAATGAGACCTGGGATTCAGAATTTCAAACAGATAGTTGGTGAGTCTTTAGCTGAGTCGTGGGAGAGATTCAAGGAATTACGAAGACAATGCCCACACCATGGTATTCAGAGTTGGGACTTTATGATGGCATTCTACGAAGGATTACTGGATAATTCAAAAATCCTAGTTGATGCTTCTTCGGAGGGATCATTTACAGTTCTCGAGCCAACTCATGCTGAGGATCTTTTGGAGAAGATTGCAATGAATGGGACCGCATGGTACACAGAGAGAACTCACCAGAGACTTGTGGGCAGCGTAGATGATGATTGTAACACCCCGTGTTACGACCCCTAAAACCAATTAATTATCTAATCATTTACCCAAAAGAAAGAATTAAATTTCATTAATTAATTAGGAAGGGTCCACCATAAAACCCATGGACCCTTATCCCTAAAACCAATCCCTTAGTCCTATAGGAAATAGAATTAGCAAACTCATGCCATTTAGACCCTAATTAGGGCTTTTAGTTATATAAATAGGGACATAGGAGGCACCTAGAACTCACACCACAATAACTTTCACCACACAAGAATTCCCAAGAATTCCCATAGGAGAAATCAAGAAAGAAGAAATCTTAAAGGAAAGATCCTTCATAGCCAAGGAATTTAATTAAGGCTAAGAGGTAACCCATGTCTCAACAAAACCTATTTTCCTTGCTATAATCTCCTTCTTTGGCTCCCTCTATATACTTGTGTCTTGATGAATTTCTTTATGATATTTGTGATATAATCTTGATTGATTGATGTGATGATTTTATGAGTGATCTTGATGATCTTGAGGATTAAAAAGATGTTCTTGATATTTATGTGATGATTCTTGATAAATCTTGATGGTTCTTGATAATGAAAAAAAAATATGATTTTGATAATTTGGTTGGGATTAGAGCCCTAGGTTGGATTGGGAATTGATATTGTGATGTTCTTGATTTATATTTGGGTGGGAATTTGCATGTTCGGGTGTTGTTCGTGTCTAGAAGTCGTGTTAGGATGTGTTCAATGTGATTCTTACTTTTGATCCATTAATTACCTATGTGGTGTCGTTAATTGCGTTTAAAAGTGTCTAAGCATGGTTTCGGGTTCCACGAAGGATCCCGGGACGCATAGTTGATAAAAGAGTCAGTGGGGGGTAGGTGGGGATAGGGGTACCCGCCACCTACCTGCTGCCCGAAAATCACCGCCAGGCAGCGGGCAGGCGCCGGGCAGGCGTTCGCCCGCCGGCAACCCGCTGCCCGGGCGATGATCTCCGGCGGGCAGCCGGCGGGTGACCCCCACCCACCGGCTACCCGCTGGTCCGTACCCACCCCGGGTCTTCGGCTTCCCCGTTTGATGTTCCCCATTCCCTGTGGTGTCCCAACGGACCCTGTTTGTCGTGCTTGAGTCTAGTTTGATGTTTCGGGTACCGTTCGTAGGATAAAAGAGTCTAGGAATTGCATGTTAGTTGAATCGGTAACCCGTTGGCCTAGGTGGAAGTCGTATGAACCCCTTAGGACTATCCTTAGTATGTGAATGATCACACGTAAGCTCATTTATGTGTCTCCCCCTTCCCAATGTGCTATTATGTGCTATTATGTGTTATGTGATGCATGATTCCCCAATTTGGTTGCGATTAAATTGGCTATACTGGCAGTTGGATGGGTTGAGAACCATCCCAACTGTTAACCAGGCCGGTTGCGATCGGTCAGGTATATAAATATTATATAGGGCTACAGTCCACTGTTTGGTTGTACATGAGCTGCGGTTCATTCTCCTGGCTGCGGTCAGTGATTCACTTATTGGGCTACAGCCCATGGACCTCGTATGCGGATGGTCCACCGACTGGACGCGCCAGCGGTGTGTAGGGCCACCAGCCTGAGGAAGGCCATAGCCCACCGACCGAGTGATCGGCGGTGTGTAGGGCTATGGTCGGCTGCGACCCACCGACTGAGGGCCAGCGGTGTGTAGGGTCGTAGTCTCCAAGGATCATCGCCCACCAACTAAGATCCTCAGCGGTGTGTAGGGCTTTCGCCCACCGACTAAGGTTCTCAGCGGTGTGTAGGGCTTGATTCACTACGATCCACCGACTGTGCTCATCAGCGGTGTGTAGGGTCGTAGTCCCCGTAAGAGGATCACAGTCTACCGACTGAGCGCGTCAGCGGTGTGTAGGGCTGTGATACGCCGTCAAACTATTGGCGGTCTGTACGGTTGGTTGCGATTAACCTCTTCATGCTGCGGTTTGAGGTAGGGTGCTGCGGGGCCATGTTAGTGCTATACGCACTAACCCTCATGTTTGGGGCATGTGTTTGGTCCCGTGGCGCCACCAAAAGTGTGCTTATGTGATTTGAATGATGACTTGAATGGCGAATAAATGATGATTGAATGATGATGTGGATGACTTGAAAGTAAACTGTGACCTTGGATACATGTTCTTTATGATGTTATCTTTATATAACTGTTTATCTTAACTAAATGTGCTTACCCCTATTTGCTGAGTCTATCCCTGATTTTAAAGCTAGAGTTCCCTAAGTATATCTCTTCCTTCTTCAAATTGATTTTCGTATATCTATGTATATATATCTACCTATATTGTATTTCAACGCGTTGGAGTGGGTTACCAGCATCATTCGCTGAACAGATATATTTGGCTTTCAGGCACAGATGAGTAAACACCGGAGCGCGCTAGAGATCTGGAGTGTAACACCCCGTGTTACGGCCTTCAACCCCGAATTAATTATTTAATTAATCCCGTTAATAATAATTAAATATGATTTAATTTGGTTAGGTTTCCCTTTAAATAATTAATCAGGCCCACCACGGATCGTGGACCCTTGCCTAAACTAGAGTCATAAGCCCATTAGAAATAAAGAAAGTCAACATTTTACTAATCAAATCCTAATTAGGAATCCTAGGCCTACACATCTATTAGGAATAAAGAAAGTATACCTTTACTATTCAGATTATGGTTAGGATTCTCTTTAATTAATTAATATGGTCCATCATGGACCATGGACCCTTATCCCTAAAACAAGTCCTTAGTCCTATAAGGAATAGAATTAGTAAACCAATACCATTCAGGCCCTAAGTAGGACTCCTAAATATATATATATAAGGACATAGGAGGCACCTAGAAGTCACACCACAAATAATCACTCACCACACAAGAAGTTCCAAGAATTCCCTTAGGAGAAATCAAGAAAGGAGAAATCTTAAAGAAAGACCCTTCATAGCCGAGGAAATTAATTAAGGCTAAGAGGTAACCCATGTCTCAACAAAACCTATTTTCCTTGCTATAATTATCTTCTTTGGCCTCCTCTCTATACTTGTGTCTTGATGAATCGTTTATGATATTGATGATATGTTCTTGATGATTATGAGATAATTTTATGTGTGATCTTGATGATCTTGATGATAATAGGAGGTTCTTGATGATTATGTGATGTTCTTGATGAATCTTGATGTTTCGCTGATTAAAAGATGAACTATGATTTTATTGATTTGAATATGATTAGAGCCCTAGGTTAAAATTGGGAATTTCGTATTGTGTTATTATTGATATATTTGGGTGGGATTTCACATGTTCGGGTGTTGATTATGTTTAGAAGTCATGGTAGGATATGTGTTATATGATTCTTGCTTTTGATCCGTTAATTGTCTACGTGGTGTCATCAATTGCGTTTAAAAGTGTCTAAGCATGGTTTCGGGTTCCACAACGGATCCCGGGACGTTTATTTTGATAAAGAGTCAGTGGGGGGTAGGTGGGGGTAGGGGGACCCGCCACCTACCCGCTGCCCGAGAAGGGCGTCGCCGGCAGCGGGCAGGCGACTGCCCGCCGGGCACCCGCTGCCCGGAGACTCGTCATCGGCGGGCAGCCGGCGGGTGGTCCGTCACCCACCGGCTACCCGCTGGAATGTGTCCAACTCGGGACTCCGGCTTCCCCGTTTGATGTTTCCCCGACCCTCGTGGTGTCCCAACGGACTCCGTTTATCGTGTCTAAGTCTAGTTTGATGTTTCGGGTACCGTTCGTAAGATAAATGAGTCTTACATAATGCATGCTAGTTGAATTGGTATTCCATTGGCCTAGGTGAAAGAAGTATGAACCCCTTAGGACTATCCCTAGTTTGTGGATGACCACGCATAGGTTTCTTTATACGTTTTCTTCCCTTTCCCAATGTGCTAATATGAGTTGCATGTGTTTGCTATGTGTTATGTGTGCATGATACCCCAATTTCGTTGCGATCAAATTGGTTATTCATGAGCTGCGGTTCAGAAGCTGGCTGCGGTCAGAATTACACTCTTGGACTGCGGTCCACCGTTTGGTTGCGATCAAACGTTTTACATGAGCTGCGGTTCATATTCCTGGCAGCGGTCAGATGATCACTTTTGGGCTGCGGTCCACCGTTTGGTTGCGATCAAACGTTTTACATGAGCTGCGGTTCATATTCCTGGCTGCAGTCAGATGATCACTCTTGGGCTGCGTTCCACTGTTTGGTTGCGATCAAACATTATGATGAGCTGCGGTTCATCGGTCGGTTGCGATCGACCCCTTCATATTGCGATACGAGGCAGGGTGCTGCGGGGCCATGTCAGAGCTATATGCGCTGACCCTCGTGTATGGGCATGCGATTGGTCCTGTGGCGCCATCAAAGTGTGCTTGTGTGATGAGATTAATGATGATATAAATGAGATGAAGTGAATCTGTGACCACAGGATATACGCTAGTATCTTTACATGCTTGGTTATAATTGTTTAATGTGCTTATCCCGTAGGGTATATGCTAGTATCTTTGCATGCTTGGATATAACTGATGAATGTGCTTATCCCTATCTGTCGAGTCTATTCCGGTTTTGAAACTAGAGTTTCCTAGGATATATCTTCTTGCTTCGAAATGGCTTTTCTTATATATATATATATATATATATATATATATATATATATATATATATATATATATATATATATATATATATATATATATACTTACACGGTATTTCAACGCGTTAGAGTGGGTTACCAGCATTATTCGCTGAACAGATATATTTGGCTTTCAGGTACAGACGATTAGCTCCGGAGCGCGCTAGAGTACCCAAGGCTTAGATAGATAGTTTCATCTTCGGCCTGCGTGCCATAATGATGTAATGATGTTGTTTAAGGATAATTAGATAGTTTAGCCTGTGCATCTGAGTTCTCTAGCTCAGATGTGGCATAACACCCCGTATTCTTATGTTTAGTACAGCTCTGTTTGGGATTTAATGAGAATTTACCTTTATTATATAAGTTTTAAAGTTTCGAAAATCTGGGGTGTTACACGGAGCATAGACTAGTTAGTTTCCCTTTCGGCCTGCGTGCCATGATTATGTACTGACATTGCTTTGAGGTTGTTTAGTTAGTTTAGCCTTTGCATCTGAGCTTTCCAGCTCAGGTGTGGCATAACACCCGTACTCTTATGTTAATTTTGGGATTTAATGAGAACTCGCCTTTATTATATAAGCTTTAAAAAGTTTCAAAATTTTGGGGTGTTACAATGATGGGCAAATGTCAGCCTTGACAGCTAAGGTTGATAATGTGGCCACCTTAGTGCGGCAGTTAGCTCAAATTACTCTAAAGAATCAAAGCGCGGGTAATATTTCTACTTCTACTATTACCCCAAAACCAGTTATGATGTGTGAGCTATGTGGAGGAAAACACAACACCGGAGGGTGTTACAACATTGAAACACAGGGTACAATGGAGCAAGTTGATCTGGTACGATATGGTCAAGAACAACAGTCATATCCACAACAGGGAGTCTACAATCCGAACGCACCGAGGAACCACCCTGGTTTCTCATGGAGTAATCCAGCTGGGGCGGCTAATCCCCAAAATTTTGGTAATAGAGCTCCACCTCCAGGGTTCCAGGGACAACAAAACTATAGAGGAGGAAATCAACAACAGTTTAGGCCAAATCAAGGATATCAGGCTCCATGTACTCAGCCTAGGCAAATCATGCCTAGACCGGAAGCACCGACCTCGTCAAATTTGGAAGTTTTGATGGAAAAGTTGATTAAGTCTCAGGAGCAAAGTGAGGAGAGGTTCAAACACCTTACAAAGAGAATTGATCAGCCTAGCGCCCACAATAAGATGTTGGAGAATCAGATAGCAAATCAAGCTTCAACCTCCAGTACGAGAGTCACAGGAATGTTGCCCGCTAGCACCGAAAATTCAAGGGAGCATGTAATTGCAATTGTTACAAGGAGTGTCAAGGTACTTGAAGAGCCACCTCTTCCAATCAAAGCATCAATTCCAAAAAAGATAGCTGAGGAGAAGATTGAAGAGATACTTGATGGTGTAGAACTTGAGCCAGCTGCTGTACGGAATAATCCACAAGTCATTGATGAAGGAAAGAAGACTGTAAGAAAGTATGAAAACCCCTTACCCTTTCCTCTACAAGAAACAAAGAAAAGTAGATGGAAGAAATTTTTAGAAATAGTTGAAAATTTGAAAGTTTCTGTCCCTTTACTTGATTTGCTTTCCCAAGTCCCCTCCTATGGAAAATTTTTGAAAGAAATACTTGCTAAAATGAGAAAATATGGGGAACATGAGATGATTGCAATGGCACAACAGTATAGGGCCTTGACACCCCGAGTTGGAAGAAGAGTGACTAAATATAAAGATCCGGGGAAGTTCACAATTCCTTGTATTGTTGGAGGTCGTCCTATAAAAGGATCCCTTTGTGATCTTGGAGCCAGTGTCAGTGTCATGCCTCTTTCACTTTGTATGAAGATGAATTTGGGTAAACAAAAACCAATCAACCTACATTGTGCATGGCAGATCAGTCTACTTCAACCGTTGTGGGTATACTTCAAGATGTCCCTGTTCGCGTGGACAAATATTTTGTTCCTGTTGATTTCATTGTAATAGATTCTCAGGAAAATCCAGAAATTCCACTCATCTTGGGGAGACCTTTCTTGGCCACAGCCAGAGCATTAATTGATGCTAGGAAGGGAACGATGATTTTAGATTTTGGTGAAGAAAAAGTTGAATTCAATGCCTTTGAGGAAAAAAGTTCATGCAACATGGTTCATCTAATGAAGTGGGATGAAGACAACCTCGAAAATCAACCGGGATGAGCACTCCATAACCAGGTTAGGTCGAGCTAACGACGTTAAACTTAGCGCTTCATGGGATGCATCCCATGTTATCTTTTATTGCTTTTATATTTATTGCTTTCTAGCTTAGTTTTATTGCTTTCTAGTTTCGTATTATTTTCAGTGTTATTGCTTTTTAGTTCTTGTTATTTTTGCTTTCTCTTTTCTCTTGTTCTCCTCTCTTTTGTTTTACATCAGGGACGATGCAAATTTTTAAGTGTGGGGGAGGAGTCAATAATTGGGGATATTTTTAAAAAAATTTAAAATTTTTGTTTTTGCTTGGATGACTCATATGCTATTTTTGGTGAATAAATTATTTGTCTCAGCATGCAATTGCAATTACTCTCTCTTGTTGGTTTGTGATTTGTTTTAGTGGTGCTTGCTGCATCTCGATTTGTGGTTGATGATTTGAGGTGTAACACATAATTGATCTATTCCCTTGCCAATAGCTTTGTTAACCACTTAATAATTGGATTAATTCTTGATCTTGTGTGTTATGCATTCCTAGTGAAGACTTATGTGAGATTCCGGTCATGGGTGTTTTGCTAGAACTTGCCTCATTACTCCCTAAGTGAAGTGTAAGTTTTGCATGTTTTTGAAGTGATTTAGGCCATTTTTGTTTAACCATAGCCTTTAAACTTGTCCTTATATATTTTTATCCTTTGTGTCCCCATTGTGCCATTCGTTTGTATAAATAAGTGCTAAGCACTTATCCCTCATCGTGATTGTTCTTCTTTGATTTACCCCTATTATTAAACCCTTAGCCCTTGGCCAAATATTTCCCTTTTACCCTTTTGAGAGAATGAAACTTTTATCTTTATTATTTCTGTAAGATGAGTTTTATGGAGTTGTGCCAAAAAGCAGTTGATATTACAAATGTTCAAGTGTGGGGGTCATGAAAGATTGGATTAAAATTGTCTTGCTGTATTCAAAGGAGATCCAAAGAAAAGAATCAATGAAAAGAAAAGAAAAGAATGAAAAAAAAAAAATGAATGATTGAAAATTTTGAGTTTGGACCCCCACTTTCCAAAGAGTTGCTGAGTTCTTAAAAGAAATTTGCTCCTTGAAATTGTGATTTATCTCATCTCTTCCAATTTTGAAAGTATTGATAATTGTGACATTCTCTCTTTTTGATTAATTTTTCCATACCACTTCTTTATTAGCCAACACCCGTAGCCCCATTACAAGCTAAATAAAGTCCTATTTGATCTTAGCATGCATTCTTAGATTTGATCTAGGGGAGTATGAAGGGAAAGCCTATGGGATCTCATTCATGAGCCGTGTCTCGCATAATCTCAATTGAGTATTTGTGTGCACTTGATCCACACACACTTTAATAATTTTGGTGCTTGGTTATTGGCTTGAGAATGGGTCTTATGTGCCAAGCTAATATGATTCTTGAAACTTGTTGTTTTGTAGCAAGTTGGTTGGTGGTTTGAAAGGATGTGCAAGAGAGAGTAAGAGTAATTTGTGTGTTTTGATTTGTAATTTATTTCTTGGTTTTGCTTGAGGACAAGCAAAGGCTTAATGTGGGGGAGTTGATGTGAGCTTAATTGTGCATATTTTTAGTATTGATTTATTTATATTTGTTAGGCTTAGGTTCATAATTTTGATGATTTAATTGCATAATCCCTTGTTTTTATTATTTAATTATGGTTCACACTTGTTTTGAACGTTTTATAGTGTTTGTTAGTGTTTTTGAACGATTGTAGGTCAAAGTTATGAGCAAGTGAAGTCCTAGGACAAATTTGGGGTCAAAAGTGGACCGAAGGACACATTTATATACAGCAAGTTCGACGCGTCGAACCCTAGGCTCGACGCATCCAAAATGTGTTTATGAACCTATGTGACAAGAGCTTAATTTCTTTAATATATTTATGACAGTTTTTATTACTTCTGTTGCAATCGTGTATCTGAATGTTGTTGCTAGTAATTAAAGGCCTAAATTGCTTGCATCATAGCCATATTCATGTCTGAACGGGAGTTAGGCATAAATTAGGGCACACTCGTTTGCACTTGACAGTTGCGCCTTGGAAGAGGGCAATTTTGTTTGGGAATTTAATTAACAATTATTACCTGTTTGGGAGATGGTGGTAATTAGGAATTAACGAATGTCGTTTCTTGTTCATATTGAGTGTTTGTCGCACGGGAGTGGATAATCACTAGGGATTGAAATTACGGGAGTAATTCAATTCCACATCTGCATTCTCACACAGGTTTAGAACTGAATAAAATATTGCTTCTTTGATTGGCACTAGGGGATTAATCACTAAGATACCAGGAATCCTATTTTGCTCTCTGTTTTCATCAATCTGTTTATTTAGCTACTTAATTTTCTCAATTACCAAGATCACCTGTTTTGTTAGGACTAGCTTCACGTGAGTAGTTTAATAGCTAGTGCTTAGTACCCCACTTCCCTGTGGTTCGACTACCCGTACTCCGGGTATTTATTTGTTTGCAAATTTACTACGCTTGAATCCACCCATACCCCTCATAATTTTATTTTTAGTTTTTTGTTATCAAACACTAGAAATAACAGTGTAAAGCTCACATGCAACAACTCGCACAAACCCAAACAAATAGTGAATGAATGTTTGCGGAAAGTGAATGCTAACAAGGCAAAATTACATGCACTTATAGGTGAAAGTAGGTGCACCTATAGTTATAAGTAGTTGCACCTGTAGTTATAAATAGTTGCACATATAGTTATAAGCACACCCAGGTGCATGAATGTTTGCGAAAAGTAAATGCTAACAAGGAAAAATTACATGCACTTATAGGTGAAAGTAGGTGCACTTGTAAGTGATTTTACTTGCACTTCGATGTTCAATTATTTACAAAAATGCCACCGCGTTTTATTTTTAAGTTATTAGATCTGGACACGTGTCGCGCGCTGATTCGTTCGCATTTCCCTCCGGAGCACTTATTCGCACCTGAGCGCATCCCTATATGTATGAATATATATATATATATATATATATATATATATATATATATAAATGGGTTCCCATGCGGTTGGTCTTCTCAGGTGCGGTTGTGCGATTGCTTAGGTGCGAGGTTTTCCTTCATAAGGTGCGTAATTTTTCTTCTTAAGATGCGTGGTTTGTGTTCTTAAGGTGTGTCGGGGTTCAAACTTCAGGTGTGTCAACTAAAGCTTTGAGGGAAATATTTGAAGGGAAATGGAATTGAAATTCCATGAAAAAATATTACCGGGAAGATTAATTACATTGTTTGGTTGGTGGAAAATAAATTACTTTAAATATCAATTCCATTGTTTGGTTGAGTTTGGGATTGTATGGAATAATGAGTATAAAGACAATTATACCCCTACATAATAATAACATCCATAATAACAATAGTAATTCAGAAAAGTTGGTGAGAGCATAATTGTCCTACTTGTTTTTCATAAAAATATGTTCCATGGAAAACAAAATACCAAGGGGGGACCATGGAAAATGTTTTCCATTAACCAAACAAAGGAAAATCTAGTTTTCTTCAAATTCAAGGAAAACATTTTCCATGAACCAAACATGCACAGGTGCGTGGTTTTCTTCTTAAGGTGCGTTGTTTTCCTTCCTAAGGTGCATGATTTGTACGTTTAAGGTGCGTCAGTTGTTGAAACTTATGGTGCGCCATTTTAAAACTTTAGGTGAGTGGTTTGTATTCTTAAGATGCTTTGTTTGTGTGGGTTAAGGTACGTGGTTTGTGTACTTAAGGTGCGCCATTTTAAAACTTTAGGTGCGTGATTTGTGTACTTAAAGTGTTTTGTTTGTGTGCTTAAGACACGTGGTTTGTGTAATTAAGGGACGCCATTTTAATGCTTAAGGTGCGTCAACCGCACAATCGCACGGGAATCTGTACCTGCACTTGAACCCTTATATATATATATATATATATATATATATATATATATATATATATATATATATATATACCGTGTCTCTCAAGTAGGAGGCGATATTGACTCTTTGTGCTTTAATAAGTTGATAAAGTAGTTATGAACAGATACTGCATTGTAATAGAATCAGTAGTACTCAACAAAAAAAAAAAAAAGTGTCTCTTAAGAGTCGATGATCTTTCACCAAGCGCCGTCAATCAATCGAGTGAAGATCGGACACCGCATCACCGGACAAAGCCAGAGAATGAAATGACGCCGATCGAAGCAACAACAACGATGACTACTCGACATCACCATCGATCGTTGTCGCCCTCGCCAGTGCTCCAACCGATGCCCGCCACCGCCGTTAGCTCCTCCGGCGCTCATTGTCGGAGTAAGGATTCGCGAAAAATTATATTTATTTATTTAGAAAAAAAAATGAGTTTCGATTTTTCGATTGTTCAAGTTATATAATAAACAAAAATAAAATGTATGTAATACAAGAAAATATACATACGAAAAAATTCGAAAACCATGTATGTATACATACGGAAAAGGTTGTATATTATCATATAAAATTTTCTTTGAAAGAAAAATATGTTCATGCTCAATTTATGAATATCAAAAGGTTATTGTTTGATACTGATTATATATGAAACTCAGATACCACATGATTATGATTATGAAACCCGTGAAACAATGATTATATATAACAAAAATGTTTTAGATCCGTCTAGATATTATATAATTTTTTGATGTTCTTCGTGTAACTATGAGAGAAGAAATCTATCGTGATAACCAGTAATCAAGCATATCTCAAAAGTATATAACCAATAAAGATATTCATAGATAGTGATGATAAATAAAAAATAAAAAAAATAAACATACAGTTCATCAATTATGACTTATTTACTTGTTAATGTGTTGATGTGTCAGTTCTTTTATTTAAAAATAATTTTTAAAATTTTATTTTAATAATTTTAATAATTTTAAATCAAATAATTATTAAAAAAAAAAAAAAAAAAGAATTGAGATCTAAGCGGTTAGAAATGTATTGTTGTCGAAATAAATTAGTGCATTCTTGTAATTTCAGTAGTATGGAATT